ACTGGACCAATAAACAACATTCTTATCAATGGAGAAAAGATTGAAGTTGTCAAGGACTTCATTCTTCTTGGATCAACTATCAATACTCATGGAAAATAGCAGTTAAGAAATCAAACAACGTATTGCATTTGGCAAAACTGCTGCACAAGACCTTTTTAAAGTGTTGAAGAGCAAAGATGTCCTCAATCTGAGGACTAAGGTGCGCCTGACCCAAGCCATGGTACTTTCAATAACCTTCTATGCATGCCAAAGTTGGACAGTGAATAAGGAAGACCATAGAAAAATTGATGCTTTTGAGTTATGGTGTTGGAAGAGAATATTGAAAGTGACATGGGCTGCCAAAAGAACCAATAGATCCATTTTGGAAGAAGTGCAGCCAGAGTGCTCCTTGGAGGCCTAGATGGGCAAACTTCGTCTCTCATACTTCAGATATATTGTCAGGAGGGACCAGTCACTGGAGAAGGATATTATGTTTGGTCAGAGAAAAAGAGGAAGACCCCCAACGAGATGGATTGGCCAAGTGGCAGCATTGATGGACTCAAGCATGGCAACAGTAGTGAGGCTGGCCCAGGATCCGGTAGTGTTTCGTTCTGCTGTGCATATGGGTAGGTACCGACTTGATGGCACCTAACAACAACAACTCTCCTCAAACTCATCCCCTCCAAAGCTAGATTATTTCCTAGTGTTTGTTGCAGTAAGGGACCCTTACTTCCCAGAGGTTTCATTGCCCCTCACACATTCCACATGGGAAGTCCTATCAGACTCTCTCTCTTTTATCATTCCCCCCTCCTCATCCTCCTGTGTTACCTAGATTTAAAGTATGCCACCTAACATGACTAGGACACAAACCCAGGTTGGAATGGCAGAAAGACCTGTATGTTTGATCACTACGCAGAACTGCCTGTCATCAAGCATAATGCTGTTTGACATAGTTGTAATGCATTGTCTGGTGTGGTGTGGAGTATGGGTGTGGCACTGTGGCTTAATGCGCTGGACTGCAAAGTTGGTTTGAACTGCAAGGTCAGAAGTTCAAGCTCACCAGCTGGTCCTTGGAAACGCTATACAGGGTCGCTGTGGGTAACAACTCAATCAATGGCACTTAAAAACAACAGTGCATTAAACCTAAAAATACCTGAGAGATTGAGATAATTACTTTCCTCATTTCACTAAAGAGGAAGACCAAGCTTTACAGGGATCACAAATTCATCACTTTAAGATCACAAATTCATCACTGCCCAGGTCTTCATTCTTCTCTCCTTTTCCCATCTAACTTGTGTGTTTAAACTACAGACTTTAGTTATTCTTCACAAAGCCCTCCCACCACTACCACCAATGACCCCATGATTGGGTTCCTGTCTCTTCTGTGTGGCAGAATTCACAATCTGGACCCCTCCAACTTCCTGGTTTCCCACTGCCTTCTATTATCTATACCCACCACCCCCCAGCATACCAACCCCATTAAGGCTCTTAAATGTCCCAGATTAGCCCAGAATACTCTCCCTTTCCAGACTCCAACATGGCTAACATATCCTTCAATTAACAGTTTAGATGCTTCTTCCTTTTTTCCAGTCTCCCAGTCAGCTGACTGCCCACTCTCCTAGGTCTCTCCTTGGGGCA